ACATAAGAAACACGTCTGAGTCATTACAGTCGTCTGTGCTTGCAGTCAGAAGTCGAAGTTTATGATAAATGCCTTCAAAACTCCTCTTTGTCCATTCCGATCCAAATTCTCCTAACGAAATCAGAGGCATAGTAACTCGCTCGAGTTGATTAGTACAGGTAGAATTGTCTTTTCAATTCACCATATTTTATTAATTGAGGATGCACTGATTAAGGGTCCTCGCTTGAAACTGCCAAATCTTTTCATTTTAACAAATTCCCGAGTGCTGCTTCTAATGGTCAAACACCGCAGCGTTTTAATTTTGAAATTGAAAAGGTCATGTAGGGAGTATATCTTTTCAGGTGAAGAATACAAGATGAATGCGTTATAATTCATTATTTTTAAGCTTAGCTCGCTCTACTAATGACTTAAGTAAAGTTGTAGTACGTGATTCTTTTATGCGATCTGTAACAATGAGGATCTCATACAAAGTCGCATTTCTTCCCTTTTTAGATATGTTTCTCTTCTTCATTGTCTTCCTCAAATTTTATCTCGCCTGCTTAATCAAACTGGAGAATGTAAGAGAAACCTCCTATGTTTCCGACGATTTGAGGAATGGATATGTGGGTTTTTTTAGTTTTGAGACCACTAACATTCTTGAAACGGATGCTTCTACTTTCTACCGAGTTCCTTGTTTTAGTAGATGCTTGGTGATGTTTTCGCCCAACGTTTTCAAACTGCCATCCGCTCCTTTGCATCTATTACTTCAAAGGATGCTTTGAAAATTGTTTGTGTGCAACGATTTTTCAAAAAAAAAATAAAGTATTCATTTTACAATCTGGTGAATTCAGCAGGAATTGCTTTTCTTGTCATTAGCAAGCTTGCTTGCAAAGAATATTGTTAAAATAAAAAAACACACTGTAGCTGCAGATAATGAGTTCGGTGTAAGGATATCATTAGAAAGGGAACTTCACCATACAATTAACTACAACTTCACCAGCATAACTGAATGGATACGGCATTGGAATTCTGAACAACTGCCTAATGCCTAGTCTACGCAGAAGTGAATGTCTTAAATATTTGATTGCTTGAAGGCAGCTTACAACAGCATGTATTGATCGAATAAACCTTGCCATGCGACAGCCAGACTGTCTGCACCTGAGGC